ATAGTGGTGTAAAACTATTTAGCAGTGTTGCGGATTATATCAAACTTATAAAGCCCAGTAACATCGCATTAATTTCATGAAGTTATATTGGGATACAGACAATAATAAGTGCTACGTCAAGAGTCTTTAAAAGACACTAAATATAGCAAAATGTAACTTTTTTTTTTTTTATTCCATTCGTTTTTTTTCTGGCAGGTCTTTCGGGCTTATTCTCCTATGCAGAGAGAAGAGACACTTGTCGTATCCCCTTGGATCCCAAAAACAATGCGTACCCCCTCCGTGTTGACAAAAAGAGTTCCATTTACTTAAGTAAGAAAGAAAAAAAAGTTTTCCAGCAAAATGTTGGAAAACGAGCCACGTTGTAATGGTAATAATTAAGTATGTACCCATAAATTAATAATTTTACAATATTCTGTTCGTAATGAAAGACACCGTATAACAATTTTAGTAAAAGAAATGTGAATTTTAGAAACTTACTAAATTGTTTTTATTAGCACCTGTTTTAAATTAAAATGGTACATTGGTAAGGAAAAAAAAAACGTACAAATAATTAACAAAGCAAGTATTTAATTATTAAAAATTGACCTGATTTGTACTTCTACTGTATAAACAGTTGGTAGCAGAAGATTTTTAAATTGTTTATTACCAAGAAAACCTGTCAACACTAACTGAACGATTTGCTAGATATATGATACGAAAACAAAAGTTGACACATTGATAATAAACGGAGTATGATCTGGTGAAGGAACTAGGCCTAGGCGATTAGTGGTATTTTATAATCTATTAAAATAACAGCAGTAAGGAAAAAAAAATGTTGGTATTGGGCGCTACCTGTCTGTTGCTTTCCCGCTAATCTTCAGTTTAAAATTAGTGGCGGATAGGCCTCGGTAGCTTTGCCATAACAAAGACGGTTCTCTTGTTTTAACGATATTTTAGGCTCTAACCCGGTAAAATTTCATGAGGTTAGGGTAGCTTAGGAGATTTTGTGACAATTGAAGGTACGTTAGGTTGTATGCGTTAACTTTCCATGGCAAAACCAACTTATAATACAATAAATAAAATAAACAAAAACAATAATAACAGCCGAATTTACCAGTATAATGTAACAATGTTAAATGAAATAAGAAAATAATATGCTGAACTGAATCTAAAACTTACCACCAGTCTTAATATATTCACCTCTTCCCTTATTCGTGAGGTGACTATGAGCTCCTAGAAATATTGAAGTTTTATAGAAATAATACATTGTATGTACAAATACATGAGGTATAACACGACAAAGTCAATATAAAAACTAGCTGAACTACTGTTGTAATGTTAAACTTATATTAACTGTATACAACTAATGGTTGTTATAAACAATGGTGGTCAATACACTAAAAATGTTTAATTTTACTTCATTCAATATTGCAAGTAATCAAAGTGTTGATGTCGAAGTTTTTTAATAGACTGTGATAACCTTCCAAAACTTCTAAACCCATAGTCTGTAGCAAGAACTGAGTGAATTTTATTTGTTTCATAATGAGAAACCTCAATCATGAAAAATATAAGTTAGTTAATAAGCTCTAAAATATGATTGTATCTACCAAGCTACTAGTAAACATCTTGTTTGGAGTACTTGTACTTGGGAATGATAAGTGCAATTAATGATATCTAAACATAGATAGTTTAATTTTTGTAGTGGAAGAGCTTTTTTTTTATAGGTGACCTCTGGTGGCTAAATTTGTAAAACTGTCCAGAAAACTTGATAATTTGGTATTAGAATATTGTCAATACATCTATAAGCGGGGCAGGTGTGAAAAGCTTTAGTGTGTCCTACAAGTGGGGCAGGTGTGGAAAGCTTTCGTGTGTCCTACAAGTGGGGCTGGTGTGGAAAGCTTTAGTAAGGCCACGCCCCAAGAAACAACAGTACAGTCTTCAAGAAACTATCTTTCCTTCATCTTATTTCCTCACAACTTCTCCTAATCTCATATAATAATATTAAAATTCCTTTCACTCACGATAATCGAAAATTTTCAAAGTTAGACACCACTTAATATTAAATCACGTAGTGGGGTGAAGAGAAACAGAAGTTTCTGACCGCCTTCGTGGAACGAAATACGTTTTAACCTAAACTCCCACAGTGTTTAGATGAAAGCTTTACTATATCCTGTCTTAGCAGGGTTTGTAATGTATAAAAATTTTACTCTCAATAAATATAAGTTTGTGGACTGAAGGTTATCATCTGTTGGAATTCCCTGTTTTTGTTTGACGATGTGTTACCAAGTTAATATGAAACATTGGTAATTTTTGTCAGTGATATTTTCATAGAAAGTTATTTACCAGAATTATTAAATGACCTTAAAACCGTTGGTGAAAGACTTTAATTTTATCATTAAAAAGACTCTTGTGTAGATTACGGAAATCAACTGTTTCTAGTGAAACGTACAAGTTTGTTCAATCCAAATTTACTGTGTGTATCTGAACACAATGTGGTAAGGTTTTAGTGAAACGTATACAAGTTTGTTCAATCCAAATTTACCGTGTGTATCTGAACACAATGTGGTTAGGTTTTAGTGAAACGTACAAGTTTGTTCAATCCAAATTTACTGTGTGTATCTGAACACAATGTGGTAAGGTTTTAGTGAAACGTACAAGTTTGTTCAATCCAAATTTACTGTGTGTATCTGAACACAATGTGGTAAGGTTTTAGTGAAACGTACAAGTTTGTTCAATCCAAATTTACTGTGTGTATCTGAACACAATGTGGTAAGGTTTTAGTGAAACATACAAGTTTGTTCAATCCAAATTTA